ACTCCTGTTCCCTCACAGCACCGCCCGCAGCACACACCGCACCCCCAGTGCGCGGTGCAGATCCCCGCCCTTTCCCCACGCACAGGCGCTGGCTGGAGGAGACGCTCCCGTCCCCACGGAGTTATGCCGCGGGCTGCAGCTGCAGAAGAACGGAGCAGTTCACGTCACAGGTATTGTTACAGTCTATGGAGAGATCTTTCATGTACTTTTCCTTCTAAACTGTGGCTTCTCTGAAGCATGAAAGTTGAAACCCTGGAGAGCAACTGAAGAGTGTGTTCCCATTGCCCTGGGAACCCTTTTCGCTGCATAGGGCATTACCTGAACTTTGGGAACCGCTGCTGTACCTGCTGCCTCTGATCATGAACGCTCCCTGTCAATCTCATAATGAATTGATAGTCCTTATGGTCACTAGAGCATCACCCAGGGTTATTTTTATTTCTCACGGATTCTACTTAGGGTTGCCTAAATATGACTAGGTCAAAGATCAGTCACATGCACACCTAGTTGCTTGAAGCAAGTGACGAGTATCTCTGTCGGATGCATAGAAGTCTATATTGTAAGGGAGCCTGCCGCAGCTCTGGTCAGGGATCTCATTCCTCTGATTTCTAAATATAAGAAAGGAAGATAATGTAGAGGTTATTGGAGCAATTGAATGATTTGTGGGGTTGCTTCAGGTCTCTGGCTATTGCAAATGTTCTGCCATATTACTAGCAAAGAACCAGTATCTCCCAATTCTGCTGAAAGACCTGGATTCTTAGAGTTGATCGTATCTGATCTGTCTCTTGGGAGGCACCAAAAGGACTTTCAAAACCCACTGGTTTTGGATAAGTCCCAATTTCTGGCCTTCCTTTATGAGGGCATTCCAGTGCAAGAGTGGCAGGAATACAACTGTGGCTGGCAGGTGTTTGAGCAGAGATCTGTGTGGCACTTGCTGCGTAGGAACGGTCCTCTGCAGGTTTCCAACTCACCTGTCCTCCAATATCACGACTTTTGGCTCGTAACTTGTTAACCTGACATTCAGCAATATCAGCTCGTTCTTCAGCCTCTTCCAGCTCGTGTTGGGTCTTGCGGCATCGTGAGAGGTTAGTGTTTGCCTGTTCTTCCTGGAAGTTGTGCAGTGCCGTCAGTGACATGAACACAAACTAATGTTGCCCTATTACCATTAACCGAACACCCTGTGGCTGCGCCACAGTAACATCACCTACTAATCAGGCTCATGATTACATCCCCGCATTGCCAGCACTCCCTGCACTTCTATCCAGAAATGTCAACAACATGACCACTCAGCTGGGGATGGAACAATTAGTCCTGCTCAGTTCCAGCTGGAAAAACTGGCTAGCGTGGCTCCAATAGGGCAACAACTCCAGGATAATCACATCTGTGCCTGCTCTGTTGTGAGCCATAAGCCTTTACAAGACAAGGAATATTCAAAGGCAGTAGCCATAACTGCCCTATCAAACTGAGTATTCAATTATTTTAATGAACTTGGGAGCCCAGACCTTTTGGAAATCTCCACCCAGGGCCCACAAAGATTTAAAAAGAGTCCTGCACTCACAGCTTCCTCGGCCTGTTTCTTGTATGCTTTCACTTTTAACTGCAGCTTGTCCACCAGGTCCTGGAGCCGGAGAATATTTTTCTTGTCCTCTTCAGACTGTGTAGGAAGTGGAAATCAAGTCAGCCTCAGAAGATGGATCAGTGATGCACGTAAGAGGGCAGAAGATTTGAAATACCTGGTAAGTGAGCTCCTTCAGCCTTCGTTCATACTTGCGAGCACCTTTCAGTGACTCTATTCCTCGTTTCTGCTCGGCATCAAGCTCGTTTTCTAACTCATTAATCTGAAACACAGTATCATGGTGAAGACAGCAAGCTGCCAAGAACGGCTGCTGATCCTGCTGTAGGATCCTGGGAACCAGGGTTCTGTGGACTGACTGCAGAGAAAGTGGCAGTGCAGGGCAGCTTCCTGCAGCTGCTTCTTGGGGCTAGGCTAGCTAAAAACTGGTCACCATGCTATGTTAGTAGTGACGTAGTGTGTGGATCCATAGTTATTTATAGGAGGAACTTAGCTGTGCATACCTGGGGCATTTATAATCAAAATTAGGCTTAAGTCTGTGAGAGAAGAGGAAACTGAAACAGGGAGGGGAAAGTTTTGTCAATATTCATCAGGTAAATGGGGAAAATCTGTTTCATTTGTAATCTTCAAGTCTAGCCCACCCTCCTGATTACAACCTCCCACAGCTCCATGCCTCTTCTGCAGTATATATAAGTCAAACCTGGACAACAGTGCTTTTGTTTCAGTGGGGGTATTTCCTTTCAAAACCAAGAGCCCCTGATCCCCAGTCAGTTGTGTTGTATTTTGGAACAGAAAGAGTTGAAGAGCTCAATAAGTGGGTCAGGCAAGTGGTCCATCTAGTCCAATGCTCTGCCTCTGGGAGTGGCAGCAGCATATACTATTTAGGGACAGAGTGGAAACCTGGCCACTGTCTACTCCCCTCACATTGTCCAGCTTCCACAGTCATTCGATTAGACCTGTAAAGTAGCATATCTACCTGTTCCCTTAAGTACGTCTACAAACCTGCTGATTTCTAATCCCTTTTTGAACCTTCTACCAGCTGCCTCTATAGCCTCCCATGGCAGCGGGTTCCAGAATTTCACTGACCACTCTGTGAAGTACTTCCTTTTGTTTCTTTTAAACTGATCTCCAGGTGAAGATGTCCTCATATTGTGCATTTTGATGAACAACCATTCAGAATACATCTTGGTCACTGCTGTCATAATTCTGTTAACTCTGATCGCATCCCCCTCAGCCATCTCCTCTCCAAACTGAAGGGTCCTAGCCTTGTTTGTCTCTCCTCCTCATAAGGCTCCAGCCACTCAGCTGGCATTCCCTGGGTGCTTCTCTACCTGCCAGGTCCTTCTTGAGTTGCAGAGACCAGAACTGCATGTGGTACATTTAATATAGTAGCAAGTGATGCTCTCTGTCTTGTTCTCAGTGCCTTTCCTAATGAAGCCCAAATTTTTTTCTCTTTTGTGTTTTTGCTTCTACTGCACATTGAACTAACAGTTTCTGAGGCCTGTCATGGATGAGACTGAGATCTCCTGGCTGAGCTGTAATTGCCAGTTCCAAGTTCATCCCCAAGTAAGTATGTTTTAAATTATTTTTCCTTCGATAAGTTACCATATATGTCTACCCTGCTGTTCATCTGCCACCATTTCTGCCCACTTAGTTTTTATGAGGTCATTCTCAAGTTCCTCACCCACAGTGCAATGTTTGTCTACTCAGTATGACTCTCATCAAACCTGCTGGAGATACCTAGAGTTGTCCCCGTTGTTACCTTCCCAAGAGGTTCCAGCAACCAAGGGACCACTCAGGAAGGTGACTTAGCCTACCCTAGTCTTCACCATACCCTCGCCTCTAGTTTCTGGAGTTGCTTCTTTCCACCCTTCAGTGCCAGCTGCTCAGCTTCATCCAGGCGGAGCTGCAGGTCTTTCACCGTCTGTTCCAGATTCCTCTTCATCCTCTCCAGGTGGGCGCTGGTGTCCTGCTCCTTCTTCAGCTCTTCTGCCATCATGGCCGCCTGGTTGTAATGCACAGTTGTGTTAAGAATATGCCTCCCTGTCCCTGGCAGTTCTGTGCTCTCCCCGGGAGCAATGCCCAGCTTCAGGTTGCTGTATGGCTCTCCACATTCTCAGTCAGTGCCAATGGCTGTGCTAAGGGTCTGTCATAGAAAAAGGATCACTGTTTCTCACTATTTGTATTTCTGAAACTGCTCTGCCTGGGAGAACAGGCAGGGTTGGTGACAAGAAAAAAATAATTAAGGCATGCAAATGACTCAGTACCAAAGTTTCATTTTTTAACAGTCAGTGGAAATGAAGGGCATCTTGAAGTATCACCAGCTAGCACTCTGCATCTCTGGGCTGCCAAATGATTTTGAATATCTGGCCTAAGACTCCTAAGCAGTTTTTGCCAATGAAATGACCCTGAGTATCTCGAGCTACAATTGAAAGTTTGTGCCTGCTGAGCTCTTCAGAACCTGGGATGGATAGCTGTCATCAATGTGACAGAGCAGAGAGGGTACAGGGGAACCTGCAGCACTGCCACTGGTGGGCAACCAGAACTAGACACAGCACTTCAGGCCCAGGTGCACCATGACTTGATGCAATCGTGTAACTGTTTTCTGTTTAATTTTCTTGTACCTTTCCTAGATAGTCCTAAGATTTGTTTCTTCTGATGCTGTGGAACTGTAGTCCTGTTGAAATGACACATTTCTATTCTCTCTTTTCATTTCTTACATGTCTAGGATTCGTATAGAAGCATGCATGATTTTAGTCTTAATTTCTGCTTCTCTGTGCTGTGTCTAAACAGGACTTGGTTCAGACAACGCTTTTCCTATTACAATTTTTCCACCATCTGTTCTATCCTGTCTATTACATTTATCCTGGAAGCAAAAGTGAATGTAGGTATGGGAAGGGGGAGACAGGATGCCTCTTCAATAGCAGAATATGAGCAGAGGACCTAGACTGAAGGGCTCTTCCATGGCAAGCAGTAGGGCAGAGGCTGTGTGAGGCCCATATGGGAGGGATTGGGATATTTTCTTTTCCTGTGTTGAAGAACTGGTTCTCTTCCATCTGACTGATGCCTTTCTGAAGTGTAAAAGTGACTGCAGTAGTATCAGATGGAAGGGAGGCAAGCAAGAGGACTCACGTCTGTGATCGCTTTCTTTGCTTTCTCCTCTGCATTTCTGGCTTCCTGAATGCTGTCTTCAACTTCATTCTGTAAATGAGTAATTTCCACTTCCAGTCTCTTCTTGGTGTTGAGGAGGCTTGTGTTCTGTTGGGACAGACCGAAGACAGGTCATTCCCACCCCATTTCATGCCACTCCCACATGCCTGTTGTAAAGGAGATACCAAATACCTGTGAGTGAAGAAGCTGCACTCTCTCACTGGCATCCATAAGCTCCTGCTCAGAAACTTTCCGGGCTCGCTCTGTCTGCTCCATAGCAGCTCGCATCTCCTCCATTTCTGTTGTCACCAGATTGTTCCTACGCTCTACCATAGCAAGCTGCTCCTTCAGGTCATCATTCTCCCTCAAAGCATCATCCAAATGGAGCTGGGAATCCTTTGGAAGTGAAAGCACAGTGAGACTCAGGGGCAAGCGGAGTGAGTGGCAAAGACCTGTAGGACAGTAGCGCTTGTGGTCCCTACCTTGAGTTGCCCTTGCACAGTTTTGAGGTGCTTCTGTGTCTCTGCTACCTGACAGTTGGCATGGCTCAGCTGTATTTCCATATCATTCAGATCTCCCTCCATCTTCTTTTTCAGCCTCAAAGCATCATTTCTGCTTCTGATCTCAGCATCCAGCGTGGTCTGCATAGACTCTAATACCCTCTGGTGATTCCTCTTCAGCTGTTGAATTTCCTCATCTTTCTCTGCACTCCTTCTGTCAACATCTGACTTCACCTGGTTCAGCTCCAGCTGAACACGTAAGATTTTTCCCTCTTCATGTTCTAAAGAGCCCTAGCAGGGTTGAAATAATATAATTTGTCTCTGTAGTGTCCATTACTTGGAAATGTCCATGCAGAATTTTGACACTTTGCAGCCAGTAATGCAGATATATTTGCCTTACTGTGGACCTTTAGAAAAGGCCTAGCACTGAAAATGCTGACTGTTGTTTCCATACATAAAAGTCATTATACCTCAGCTGGGTATTAATCAGTAATTTAGGAATAAATCTCCTTAGGAAAATGCCTCCAGTACCACAAGGTCTGGTCACTGAGGGCTATGTTGACATTGCAGAGATAACAGCACGTGAAAACATAAAACAGGACAGCCAAGCCCCGTGCTCAGAAGCAGCTTGCCTTCTCTTGCATCTACATGCTGAATACTGCTTAGGGGCTCTGCACTTAGTCCTACCCCAGTAACTTTGGGGGCATTCCCCTTCCATACAGCCTTTTCCCTCTGATACTCATACTATCTGCTTCAGATGCCTGGGAGTTAAAGGTTGTAATGAACCCTGAGGCTGGGTCTTTACAACCAATGGACAAAGATAAGCACATGCAGAGAATGAAACAGTTGATGTAGCCTTGGCATCCCTTTTAAGAACAGACCCTCCAGACATGCCCATTTCTCCTTTTTGATTCTACAGTGAGGCTATGGCCACTTAACTCTTGCTCCTACTGCCTGCCCATCTAGTGAGGTTTAAAGATTAGAGATGTGTCAGTTGTTTTTTACTTCTTTTTCTACCCAAGGGGAGTTATAGAGAAAATAAGGTGAGGCTCTTCTTGGTGGTGGACAGCAAAAAGACAAAAGGCAACAGTTAAAAGTTGATACAAGGGCAATTCTGACTGCATATAAGGGTAAAAATATTTTCACATGAGAATGATGCCGCACTGGGAAAGGTTGTCCAGCAATACATGGAATCTCCATGCTTGGAAATTATAAAGACCAATTAGATAAGGCTTTGACCAGCCTAATGTAACTCTGAAGTTAGCCCTGCTTTGAGCAGGAGGTTGAACTAAAGACCTCCAGAGGTCCTTTCCAACCTAAGTTAATTCTGTGTCTCTGTGATTATGCTATGCCCTAGGTATACCATGGGCAGCTCCGTGAAATGCTCTTAAAAGACATTTTGTGGAGACTCAGATATGGTCATACAGAAGTAATAAAAGCTTTTCTAAGAGACAGTCAGGCCAGATAGGGAACAAAAGGCAGAACCCAGACAAGAGGGAACTGAAGGAGCTTCAATCTGTCATGGATTAGGAAAAAAGATAGATTTAAAGTTATGAAGAGCTGAGGGATAGCCGAAGACAGTAAGGAAGACTGTGAAATCATGGAATTTTGGGCCTGGTATGCAGCCTGTGTCAGCAAAGCGTGTCAATGTAACAGTGGCACTCCCAAGATTCAGCTGATCCCCAGCAACCACTCCATATCCTGTGAACTAAGTCCTCATTGAATGTCTTACTGCCTCCCATTCATTGAAAGTGGAGGAACTGAAGAAATATGATCTTAATTCTCTTCAACATTCAAGTTTCTTTGAACAGGAGGTGACATGAAGAATTTAAGTATGGATTAGACCTGCTCTGAAAACATCCTTGATTAATTTGACTAGAAAACAAAAATTGGCAGAGCTTTGAAATACAAATGACCTTTCTTCAGCCTTTCACAGGAGCAATTTCAAACAGGTATTGCAGAATGAACTCAATTTTGGTCTGGGACTGAGTTTTTTTTGTGCATGATAGCACAGCAAGGAATGCTGTGTTGGTATGGGAGAGAAGCAGTCCCTATGCTAGTTGGTCTGCTTGTGCTTTCATACTGCACCTTTGTGACAGTATCAGGATAAACAGGAATATATAATCTCCAAATTTTCTCCATTCACATTCTCTCTAAAAACAAGCTCTCTTACTGAGGACACTTGCCTCTGCTTCTTCTAATGCTGCTTGAAGGTCACACTTTTCTTGCTCAATTTGCTTCTTTGCTTTCTCCAGTCCATGATTAGCTTTTCCAGATTCAGCAATCTGTTCAGCCAAATCAGAAATTTCCTCTGCAACACAGAAAACACACACTCAACTAATCTTAGATAAAGTTGTCAATGGCTCCTGCAATTGCTGTTTGGCAATGGGAGTGACAGAAGAGATAATAATGTAATGTGATGCAGCAATGAGGAGAAATAATAGGTCTTGTCTCATGTTCAATCGTTATTTCTGATTACCTGCTATTTCCAGTTAAGTGTGCAATTTGGAAATGAGAGGGACCGACTGGAGTGAGCTCAGAGAATAATGTGGACTTCCTCTGGATAGTGAAATTACGTCTCCAGAGACAGTCCTATTTGTTCTCTTTATCCTCAGATACACTGCAGGGATCATTCAGCTCACAAAAAGGAACTGAGTTGCATTTCCTTTATACAGTTGGTTTGCTTATTAAATGCCAATCCATTGTGCGACAGCTGCATGGTCCTCCAATAATCAGGTGACAGACAACAGCCCTCCAGATTTTTCCTAATGGCAGTGACTGAAGTAATCTGAAAAAAGATGAGTATCTGTTTTCGTCATTACTTCTGTTCATTCAGTTAATTTGGTCCCTATCCATGAATGGGATTATGATGGTGTAATGGAGGGGGAATATCATGAAGAAACAGGATGCTGGAATGAGCTGTAGGCGTGTGCAGGTGACTTTGTGATGGGCTGAACAGGAAAGAAAGGTGCGTAATGTGAGCTTTGTGGGAAAATCATAAAGAACAAACCCTGCAAAGAGGCAGAGTTTCTGATACCCCAGAAACATGGAAGCATCTTAGGACTCATGGTGGATCTCAGCTGAAAGAAATCTGAACTTACGCTGGAGGTTCTTGTTCTCCCGTCTGATAGTTTCAGCCTGGTCAAGCATTTCTTCATAGGCATTCTTCATCCGGAAGATCTCAGTGCTAAGAGAGCGAGACTCCTTCTGGGCAGCTTCCAGCTCCGCCTGACTCTCCTGGTACTTCTGCTTCCATTCAGCCAGGACCTGGAGTGACAGGAGCACAAGAATGACCCATTCTGCAACACTACTGTCTCTGCATGTTTATAGCACAAGAACCCAAGAGGCATGGCCTGTCTTACAATCTTTAGCTTTGGATTATTCTCTGCTTGTGACAATTCACTGTGACATATAATCTGGCTGTTTTGGTGGACACTACTTAAATTACCCTCTTTGACCAGCGCTAGTGCATACCCCAAACTCTCAGGCAGGAGTTTGGTTTGACACCATCCTGGGCAAAATGTGGTTAGTCTGAATAAGGCTGTGTGAGCCTTTTTATTATTGCAGGAGCTAGTGATGTTGCACTCTGCCCTCCAAGAAAGATCATGTTCTACTGATTGTCTCTGGATTTTGATACCACAGCCCTGCAGGGCATCTTTTTTAGCATTTTCATCTAATTCAATCACACAAGGCTGGGCCAAGGCACAGGGCTGTGCAACTTGGTCAAACAGTGTTTATTCTTTTAAATGTTGTTAAAGTCAGTGAAGGCTGGAACTGTAAAGGAGTCTGAGGCTCTGCCTAACCTTAATACAAGGCTGGCAGACTAGCACCAGGTGAAAGTCAGGGCTTGTTAACTTGCATGTGAATACTTGCTCAGTCTTCTTGATCAAAGGCTAGATAGGTATCCTCCCAATCTCCCTTGCAAAGACTTCATGCTTTTTAAAACTATCAGAAAGTTACTTTATTGTTTACTGTGGTCATCTGGGGTGACTCACACTGTGGCATTGTCATTACTATATGTCCTGTTATGTGCTCCTTACCGTAGCTTTGCTTTGGATAAAATGTAATTTATCTTACTGTGAGTGTAGAGCTGTGATAATTTCAGAATTTGGCCTGGCCTATCAAATGTCTAACGATGTTCAGATCTGGCAGGCTCTTTGAATGAACCTTGTCAAAATTCTTCTGCTTTTTATCAAATGCTGCACAGGCTGCGTTCGACCTCTCCATGTCAATCATGAGGTCATCCACTTCCCCCTGCAGCCTCTGCTTTGTCTTCTCCAGTGAAGAACACTTTGAGTTGACAGCCTCAATCTGCTCCTCTGACTCCTGCAGGCGCTGAGCAAGCTTCTTTCTGCAGGATGAGACATTCAGCACTGAGAGAAGGAAAATTCTGACATTCTTAGAAAACGGGAAGGAAGGGAGTTTGGCATGGAAGAGATGAGCAGAGAGAGCAATGTAGAAAGCTGTGATGGTGTGAAGAGAGAGCATCGATAGGAGCCTGGAATGACACAGCACACTGTAGTGGTGCATAGGCTGCAAGAATACTTACCCAAGGTATGGACTATACCAATATGGAGAGGAACCAGAAACACACTTTCAATATTGGCAGTATAAAGAATGTGATTTTGTATACTACTATGATTAACACCATAGTTAATGCACTGGAATTCTCCTTTCTGTAGACACTCCCAAGCCTTCTCCTTTAAACCTCTACTCGCTCCCCTTTTCACTCCTAACACATTACAAAGCACAATGCTCTGCATATTTCCATTACAAGCATATTCTGGTTTCCTCCAGTTCCTTCTCACATTTATACTTAAATATCCTTCTGCTTGCTCCAGACCATCCCTCCACTTACTTGGCCTCCTCCAGCTCCTCCGTGCGCTGAATAGCGTCCGTCTCATATTTGGTTCTCCACTGGGCCACTTCGCTGTTGGCCTTGGACAGGGCACGCTGCAGCTCCCCCTTGGCTTCCTGCTCCTCCTCGTATTGCTCCCGGAGCAAGTCACAGTCGTGGCGAGCAGACTGCAAGGCGTGGGCCAGGGCGTTCTTGGCCTGGGTCGTTAAAATTATACAAAGTGTCAAAACATTAACAATTTGTGACTGGATTTTTTTACTGTATTTTGATAAAAACTCCACATCTCACTGTCCATGTGCCACAGTTGGAGCAAAGTGAGTAACACTAGGGACTCTGTCTTTCAGACTTGGTGTTATTAAACAAGATCAGGCGCTTGTCCATCTTGTCTAGGATACTGCCTCTCAAACACAACTGCACCAAGTGCTTCAGGCAAAGACACAAGAAATCCAGCAACAGACAAGGTGGGAATTAACTCTCAAGAAGTTTCCACATAAGCTTTTCAGGTAGAGCTTGGTATTTATCTGAAGGTGGAAGAAACTTTAAACTGTTTTGTCATATCTAACCCTGAGTATGCCTGCACTCCTGCTCTCTCTCCTTTTTTTTGGCTGTTGTTGTTTTCATTGCCTCAGGGATTTCCTGTAGCAGTGAGATGTGCACACAAAGCTATTTTCGTTCACTTCTCTCATGTTTTTGAACTTCAGAGAAGGACTTAAACTGTCTTCCTTATTTAATTTCTAACGTCTCTTCTTTGTGTTACACTCCAAGGCAAAGTTCAAAAGATTCACTGTTCTGATGTCTCCCACCTTTCTCCAAGGATAAATCTCATTTATTGTTTTAGCTCACTGATTTATTTTATGATTTGTTGGTCCAAATTAAAATAAGTCACCTTATGTTCTTCCTCTAGTTGCCTCTTCAGCTCTTCAGTCTGCTGAGTGAAAGCATGTTTACCTCGAGTCAACTGAGAAATCAAGGACTCCTTCTCCTCCAGTTGCCGAGCAAGTTCACCTAACAAGAAAGCATTTATTTTTTTTAGATAGAGATGCAAGACATAAAACATACGAATGAGAAGAGCTAGCTATACGAAAAGTGATTACAAGATATAATGTGGTAAAATGGAGAGTAGCGATTTCATTCCCACCAGTAGGAGAAAGCTATCAAAAAGAACTGTTGTGCTGGCATCAAAGGAAAGGGGATGATCTGACCACACACATTCATTTTGATTGACAGTGCTTATTTTGGTTTGGTTTTATGTTTCCTTGGGTGGATTTTCTATGGCTGCCACCAGGAGGAAATTCTACAGTCTGAGTTTTGTTCGGATCACCCAGTGATGAATATATTACAAAATAAACAGGCATTCAGACAGCATAGTTAAGTACTTGGCACAGGACTATTACATTTCATCTAGGGACACACCATTCTCAGTCTGGAGACGTGTTTTCTGCGTGTTCAGATCGTTAATTAGCCGCATATGTTCATCATCTTTGGTTCTAACTTCACTGAACTGGTCTTCGAGAGCTCGGCACATCTTTTCCAGATTGCTCTGTTAAGAGATAGAAATCACATCCTTCAGCTCATCTAATTTTTCAGAAGAACAATGGTAGTGATGAGAAACATTTCTTCCTGTGCAGCAACCTTGGCTTTGGAGACGGACTCCATGTTACTGGCCAAGTCATCAATCTCCATCTTCAGCTCGCTCTTCTCCTTCTCCAGCTTCTGCTTCACGCGTTGCAGGTTGTCGATCTGCTCCCCCAGCTCCGCTGTGCTGTCCGCATGCTTCTTCCGCAGGGCGGCAGCCGTGGCTTCATGCTGCAGCGTGGCCTCTTCGAGGTCACGGCGCATCTTCTGAAATTCCGCCTCGCGCTTCTTGTTCATATCAATCTGAGCTGCGGTAGCTCCTCCTGCTTCTTCCAGGCGCTCGCTGATCTCCTCTAGCTCCCTCGAGAGGTCAGCTCGCTGCTTTTCAGTCTTCGCACGGATTGCGCGTTCAGCCTCAATTTCTTCCTCCAATTCCTCTGTTCGAGCCTGTGAAAGTGAATTGGTTAAATGAGGACTTCTGAATAGACAGATTTGAAATTATCATTAAGAAATAAAAAGTGAACATTCACATCCATTTGCGTAGAGAGTGAAGCACCACTAGAAGTTTCACTTCTTGTGCAATTTCACTTCAGTTATGTCCTAGGACGAGCAATATTCAGTTTTGAAACAACAGTGAATGTAAAATCTGATATTTCATTTTATGTTATAGCTCAGAATGGATTTAATGTGTTGTGAAATATCTAGCATTGCACTTTTCTAAGAAATAGGGGATGTGTCACTGGAAAATGTAAAGGGATGTGAGTTTCTTAGAAATTTCCCAAAGGTCGGTCCAAAGCAAAGCATGTCCTCCATCAGCAAACGACATGGGACGAACCTTGAGATGACCAACAATGGGATAGCAGCACTGAAGAGAACTGTCTTCCTGGCTCTGCGTTTAGAAGGTAATCTCTGTCCTGATCATGACAGATTATGTCATATTCTATTGTTTTCTTAGAAAAGTAATTCTCAGTGGCTTCACTACTGTTATAACTCAGATTCTGATCCATTTTCAAAGCCTGCCACAAGCTTCACTTAAGAAATTTCTTACATAGTTATATATGATTAGAAGTCAGAGTTTCTGTGAAAGTGCCCTGAGATAGGAACAGCCCACAGAGTCCCTGTTAACTGTTTTATTCATGTGTAGGAAAATATTTTTGTAGAACAGTCTAAGAATAAATATCAATTAATTCTAAGGAACATGTGCTAGGCTACTGAAAATATCAATAACTCTTAGACTTTACCTGAAGTTCCTTAATTTTCTTTTGCAGCTGAGAACTTTGAGCCTGCTCATCTTCAATTTTACTTTGCAACTGGCTAATTTCAAAATCCTTTCTGTTAAAGAACAAGAATTCAATATGGTTAAGATACAATTTGAATTTTAGAATTCAGAGCATAAAAAGTCATTGCAATACTTTTTTAGCCTGTCATCCATCTGTTGCTTATCGTTTTCCAGATCCATGATGGAATCCTGAGACATTTTCAGATCTCCGTCCAGTTTTCTCTTTGCTCTTTCAAGGTCCATTCGGAGTTTCTTCTCTTGTTCCAGAGATCCTTCAAGCTAAAACACATCAAACATACTTTGAAAGACATAAATCATACTTTGAAAGTAACTACTCTTGATTTAAAAATCTAACTAGAATTGGAAGTTGATGAATAGAGAAAACAATCAGATCCTGTATACATTTCTCAGCTCCTACTGTGCTACCCTTTCACTGCAAGATCAGAGCTGCCATTATGATTTGGTTTCAGATATTAAGCTGTCCACAGCTTGGCTGTGCACAGTTGAAATGCAAGTATTTGAAAAATACAGAAATGAAAATTTTCCAGTGTCTGCAGTTCCTAGCATAGAGACTGCTAAATATTGGCAAACTCCCAGTGTTCATAACTTCCTGCAGTATATCCACACTGCACAGTAAGAGACCACAAATAACTCTGCAGTAAACTTCAAACAGCCACAGACACACTGCTCCAGCTAATTGATTAAAATGGGGCACGAAATTCTACAATGCTGAAATAGCCAGTGATGAACATAGGTTAGATAGACAGGGAAGGATGAAAGATGTACTGTGTTGCACAATACCCTGTCAACTGGCAATGATTTGTTTGCTGAAATTATTGGAGCTGGCTTGGCTGCTTTAGGTGTTCCTTATACTCCCAACTACAGATTTCTAGTCTCTTCTAATCTGCCAGAGCATCAAAGCACAACCCAAAACCTTTTTCTTACATCATCCACTTGCTGCTCCAGTTTGGTCTTGGTTTTGGTGAGTGTGCTAACTTTGTCTTCCTCAACTTGCAAGTCATCCAGTGTCTGCTGGTGGGCTTCCTGGAGAGCTTTTTTCTCCTTAGTAAGTTTAGCAATATTTTCATCCAGAGCTGCCATCTCTTCAGTAAGATTCTTAACCTGTTAGACAGCCAGCATCCATACTGTGAGGGGATGCCTTGAGAAATGACAGACTGAGAACACAGTGAGTGCACCCTTGCAAAATCTTGCATGGATGTAGTAAAAATGCTCTCCACAGAAAGTCTGTATTGGTCATGATAAGGGTAATAACTGTCATGCCTGCCAGTCACACCTCTCTGGTCCTGCAATAGTAGGAATTCTTGCTTTAGTTGTTTTTGACTACCAGCCCTATCATGCTGAATTCTATAGTGGAACTCATGCTAGATCTTCACTAGCCTCTGCAGTCTTTTCCTACTGGGATTTACAAAAGGCGTCTGAGTTGCTCTTGATCAGAAAATGTATTTGCTGTATGTGATATATTTGCTAGGCAAACAGCTGTAAATTCTCAGTGAGATTCTCTAAAAAAAATATTATCAAGTGCCAAGCATAACCAAAGTTATGTTAAGTTGTCCATAAAAGTGAAAGGAACACGATAACATGACAAAGAACCTTATGCCCTTGGAACAGGTGATCATGAATATAAGGCAGGAACTTCTGATGGGGCTGCTGGACATACCAGCTCTGTTAGCTTTACATTGGAAACTTATTCCTTGTACTTCAATGGAGCATTGTACACAAGCAACCTTATCTCAAACACATCAGGTGCTGTGCATTAGCCTGCCTGACCCTTGCTTCCCATTTGTCTGATTTGGATGGGAAAGCCTGACAATAGAGATAAGGAAATTCCACTCTGCTAAGTGCTATGTGGCCCTGATATCTGATAAGACTCTCCCCCATCTGTCCTAATACCCAGGACCAGCTAGATTTCTTCTAAGCATTAGTATAGAAATGTCCAACATATCTTGTAATGTAATTGCAAATTTATGATTCAGTATTGTTCTCAGTGATGGCAGTGAAGGGAACCTCAAGGCTGTCAAAAAAATGAGTTAATGACCACCTAATGCAGACCCTCCTTGCTACACTGACAGTCTGAACCTAAGATGTCAGGAAGAACTCTCATTGTATCGTCAAGTCAATAGAAGGAAAGGATGTCCATCCTAGCGGAGACCTAGGCTTCTTAAATATAAAAGAATTATAAGAAAATATTTGACATCTGCAAAATCAGTTTTTCTTCAATGCATGTGAGAAAGAACCAGCATAGCTGTTCTGTGCTGAGCTCCTCACAAGCATGCTAGTCCTCCATTATCCACAGGACACACAGGTATACTGGTTCCTTATGATTGCAAATAGCCAAATATGGAAATTCTCTATCAAGCACCATAACAACCTCTTAACTCTTTTTGAACTGTCGGAGAAAATATATTTTTCCTAAGAGGAAGTTATAATTAAAAAAACCTCATTTCTGTCACAGGTGATTAAGTGGCAATACATCTCTCCTATGCCTTAGGCACTTATCACTGCCATTCAGAGCGCTTAGGAATGACTGCAACTTTCCACAAAACTGAAAACTGTCTGGGGAAGAATAATCCCCTGATTCCTCTGTCACCTTGTTCTCTGTTGCATGCTTCTCCTTTTCCACTTTGGCCAGAGTCAGTTCAAGATCATCAATATCTTTCTTCAGCTCAGAGCACTCATCTTCAAGTTTTCTTTTCTTTGCTGTCAGTTCAGCATTTGTCTCCTCTTCATCCTCCATTCTTTCAGTTAGTTCTTTAATTTTAGCTTCCAGCTGGATTTTACTTTTGATGAGTCCTTCACATCTCTCTTCAGCATCAGCTAGATTTTCACTCTCCTGTCAGAACATATTAAAGGCCCATTATGTTTATCATAAAAATGACAAAAGGCAACGTATGTTGTTCAAGCGCCATCTCCAGGAAATTATTTGCACAAGTCAGAGCAATGATCCTATGTAAATCACAGTGATGCACACAATTTGATCATGAGGAAATTGTCCTGCTCAGTCACAGCTAGGAAGGTGGACCATAATCCCATGGTAGAGACACTTCCTTTCGGCTGGTCAGGTGTTTTGACTACAATACCGTGCAATAGGCTCACAGGGTCCAGTCTTAACAATGAACCCGCAAGGAATCAGTGAGATAAATAGGTGGGCAGCAAACTGGATTTCACGGAAGCATGATCCTAGATGATTTGTAAAGCAAATAGCATTTCAAAGTCATTTTTCACAGTGTTGGATATATTAGATGATTCTGTCTTTAATAACCTCCTCCAATTCTAATGACAGAGGTCAGACTGTCTCTCCACAAACTTCTTCTCCCACTTTATTTACATGAGGCTAACCTTACTCCCATCATTCTCTAACTCCTCTCTCAGCCAAGACACGGTCAAGCTCAACCTAAATTGTAGCCTGCAACTTTTACTATAACTAACATTTTGAGATGCATGATTATCAGATAAAATTTTGTCTAAATTAACACTACTGTGATGTATTCTAGGCAGAATACCAGAAAAGGTATCTGTTGCCTCTGAGAAGAGTTATGGCTGAAAGCCATCACTGCAGTAACAAAATATGATATGTTTAGTTGTCTCTCAGATTCTGACTGAAACCCATAGTGTACTGAAAATCATGGCTAGGGAATGTGCATCTTCTGAGGACAAACTTGGAGAAGATGGTGCTTGAGGAATCTTTCAAGCAGGGTTGATAGAAATTCCCTCAGGAAAATGGGGCTTAGGGAAAAGACAGGAAGGACTCTTCCAGTACTGAAACAATGTGAAACTGGGAGTTGAGAAAGAATCAGACAATACACTTGAGGGCAATGATCATATCTTATGAGTTCTTTTATGTTCTAAAATGTGAAATCTGAGTGCTTTGAAAGGCATCTTAACCTGGAAGTTAGTTAACCTAGTTAAACCTGAGCTTCTTGGGAGTTTTTGGCTTACCATCCATGAAGGGGTTAAAGTGAAGCCTCAAATGCTTGTAAACTAGGTGGGTTCTGGAGAACAGAGCATTAAGCACCAAGAAGGGTACAAAGAAACTCAGAAAACTGGGTGAGGTTAAGTTGAAGTTCTGAAGAAGGATTCAGGTAATGAATCTGATCTTCAGCATGCACAGTTACATCCTCAGTGCTTGAAACAATACAGGACTATTGTTGAAACCCAACTGGTTTGAAAGCACATGGAAACAAGTGACTGGTCCACTTGCACCAGACTGCCCTTGGCCATGTAATATCTTATTACATTTTAAAAAACCTGGCAGTACTCCTGTCTTTGCAATTTCAGTCTCTGCTGAGCAGTATTCCAGAGAAAAGCATGAGTCTTTGTTCCACAGTTTCAGTTCTCTCTCTGACAGAAAAGCACCCCTGCCCTGGCTCCATATTATGATGGTCAGCCGATGTGGAAAAGGCCTATATTTCCTCCAGAATCAGATACCATTGCTAGGAGCACATTATATGTACTGTGGAACATCCGCTTCTTCCACTGGTAATCGCTTAATAGTGGAGTGGGTTTGCATGGGAGCCCTGTCAGAATTTCCTGTATTCCTACTGCTGGTAATGTTTTATATGTTTGTACTCACTTTGATTAGATATAAGTGACAAGACTAGATACAAAGCATTGGAGAATCTGGCCCTGTTACATGTCTGTTTATGAAGGACAATGGAAAAGAGAAGGGGAAGAGCAGCAGAATAATAGGAAGTGAGGTGAATCTGAAAATGGAGGTTACTCACAGATTGAACCTGAAGCTGCAGGTCATTTTTCTCTTGCAACAGAGTCACCATTTTCTCCTCCAACTCCTTCCTCTTTGACTCAGACTTTGCAAGCTCTTCCTTGGTTTTCTCAAACTCCTCCTTCATGTTGGCCATCTCCTTCTCAGATTCTGCACTCTTCAGCAAGGGCTTCATCTTGAAGTACAGCTTCATCCAGGGCCAGTGCTTGACATTCATGAATGCTCTAACATTGTATTGAATAATATAAATGGATTCTCTGGAAACACGTGAAAACAGAGTTTATGAGGCTGGTGAGACTAGGGCTAGAAATAGACTCTGATTATTGGTCATTAGCGTTTTCCTCAACAACCTTTTGCATGGGACTTTTTTCCTCACCTCCCTTGCTGTTACTAAAGAGTCATTTCTAGGCCCTTGATTGCAGAATGGCTGGTCAGTAGCATGAACAATAACTATGTGTGGATATAAGAGGAAGAAATACTCCAAACCAGACAAACTTCTTTGGCATGTTGCCTGGGAATCAGACTTTCCTCAGTCTCAAAGAAGTGCAACTGCTCAGGTGAATACCAGAGTGGAAGCTGTCATCCTTGAAGTACTGCTGCTGAGACTACAAATCTGGGAGTTACTGTCAATTATGGAAACAGCAACTTGATGCTTCTTGGGTCACTCAAAATAGCAAATATCATATTAGAAATTATTAAGACAGAAACTGAAAGCAAAAATGAAATCTTTTTATGGTGCTGAATGCAAAAGGGTGTTGTTGATGCCCATAGTTCAAGGAGAGACTAGACAATTCCTTGCAGAGAAATCCATGAAGAGTTACTGAATTCTTAGAAACTATCTCTGGCTCAGGAAGCCCCTGAGCTAAATACATACTTAGGAGTAATACAAATGAAAGCAGCTGGTTGGCAGAGCATCCTATACATTTATGCAATCCTTGCTCCCCCTAAAGCTTTCACTTGTCAACAACATTTGAGAAAGTTTTCTTGGCTCACCCAGTGCTGCCACTCCTACACTCTAAATTTTGCATGATTCATCCCATCTCGAAGGGAGAGACCTGAAATAGGAAGGGGATCTGGGATGACTGAAAGTACGGAGTACCTTCTCTGTACAAGTTAGAATTGTTTTATCTTAGATGATGGAGCCATGAAAGAAAACTAAAGAGAAGGGGAGCAGAAAGTGATTATATGCCATTCCTTACAAAACCAATGTGATCCAATGAAATTATAAGACAATATATTCAAAACAGACAAACCTTAGCACTTGTTCAGTTAGCTATCTCTGTCACAGGGTTCTTTAAAGGTTGAAAATGGTAAGTGCATTCCTGGAGAAAAGGTTCACTGTTAAATACTAAATATCATGGTCCAGCTGCATGGTCCAATTGCTAAATAGCCATTGCCAGAATTTGGGAAGCTGTAACAAGGAAACACTTAGTTTGTGCTTGCTGTTTCTCTAGTCTTTCTAAGGGTCTTTCCTGAGAGAATTTTTTGCCTGAGACAGTATACAGCATTGCTGGACTTTTCATCTGACACAGTATGATTGTTAGTATTATATTACCTTCTTTCGTTCATCTTTTTAAATTCAGTTCTCATGAGGTACCCTCTGCACATAGCTTGTGTATGAGTGATGAGGCTCACAAGCTTCTCATCTCTCATCTCTTCTAGGAGTCCCAGGAGACCTGCCTTGAAGAACACCTGGAACGTAAAAGATGGTCAAATAGTTTGAGGCTTAGGCAGATACACAACCATTGGCAGCTGATACAGGGTAGTACAAGGCAGTTTTGGAAAAATGCCTGTGGAGTAAAGGTTTAACAGCTAGAGAAATTTTGTGTCAGTATTCATATCCTCAGTGTTCCTGTGATTCATGACAAGTCACTCTATGCATGATCTAATCACATTATTGCAGTGTTACTTGATGCCTACTCCAGTGTAGATTGTGGAAGATCTAGCTCATCAGTAGTTATTAAAACAAAGAGTTAACTTTCAACTTAGTACTATATCCTACTCAGTCTCTTCACTGTACTCTACCCTTCTGTGTGAGGCTCAAGATTTGCTCTGTAAACTGACTTAGAGATGGCTTGAGAAGCATATATGACGATGTCTGTTCAGTAGTGTAGGAGATTGGGGTTTTGTGCAGAGATAGTACTGCCTTGATTGTGCTGATCAGAGAATCAGTGTCCCACCTAATGCTGCTTTGGATATGCAAGATAGACTTGTATGTGTGCCTAAATCCCGTGAAAAGTCTGACTGTCCAAACTTGTCTCAGCCTGTCTAACATGCACTGATATAAATGAGTTTGACTGGCAGCAGAAAGGGGCGGCACTAGTTCTAGTTGCAGCCACGCTGGGTCATTCTGGTAATGTGGTGTTCCCATGGCTGATAGTGCTACCCCTCACGCATACCACCAGAGCCAGACAAGTTTTCTGTACTCCTTGCTAGTGGTGTACTTAGATTCTAATCATCGTGAAGGCTAATTTCATATATTCAAGAAATACTTTCAACAAACAAAATTTTCTTCCATTGATTATACCCACTCTTCCACAAGGGCTTTACCTTGGTGTGGCCAAATCTGTATTGGTTGTGGTCAACATCAATGGAGGAAAGAAGCTTTTCCGAAGCCTTTTTGCTGTCAATGAACTGGCCTTCTGGAATGGCCGAGGCATTAAGAATCTTGTACCTGTGGAACGACAGGTTGCAAGGACTGATTGCAAACAGGGTGAGGAAAACAGGGTCCATTGTATATCATAAAATATATGGAAGCTGAGCTAACTGAAAGCGGCTGAATATGCCATTGGAAATCTAGACAGTCTTGGCTGAACAGAACGTGATGACAAGGGGACATATCTACTCTTCAGAGGAATCTGTTGGCTGTGTAACAACAAAAAATTAATGTGCATACTTAAGAGTGTCTGCAGGTCCAGGAATCAGGAAGAACATAGTGAGAACATGCCAACCTCTTCTCATCTTTTTTCACTGATGAGAGGAACACTACTCAAATTAAAGTTGAGGATAAATTAAAACTACTAAGAAAAATCATCTGTATTCCAGAGGGAATACAGATCTTGCACAACTCACAGTCTCTGCAAGTTGTACCACTGAATCCTTGAGTTTGGACTAAAAATGCCATGGTATTATTCTGTAAATGCTAACAGCAGTCTTAGCATTTTGCAAGGTAACGTAATGATTAAGGTAATCCTGTGTCATGGACAGGACCACCTAATCCTTCTAAAGGGGTTTCTTCACATGTGTCAATGAGGATGTGTGACTGTACACTGGAGCACTTCTTATTCTCAAGTCTACCTTGAAAAAGAACATGTAAAATCGAGACAGTGATAATGGTGCAATGAATTTATTCTCTATTTCAGGCTTCCATTGTAGTTCCTCCTGAAATTCAGCACATTTCCTTTGAATTACAAAGCACTTTGTGGTTCTGGACCATGGCCATTATGGATAGTTTCCTTCACCTGGCATATCAAATTATGATTTGATTGAGACCAGCTGATGCCTTACTGATCATCAGGTTGCATGGCATTTTCAGAGAGGTCTTGGGTTCTTTTCACACAGTTCAGCATGGAAGATGCTGCTGTTACATCTAATTATAACAGCAGCCAGTTCTGATTCAGCACTTTATAGCAACTGAGCTCACATGAACCAGTTTAGTTGTTTCCATTTTAAAGATGAGAAAAACAAGGCAGAGGATGCAGGCCAGTGACGGAGCACCGGCAAAGCCTTGGATTTTTGAATTCTTAGCCAGTGCACTGTAAGGAGGCTGTGCTGATGTGTATTGGTTTTGTATCTATACTCTGGGAGACTTACAAAGAACAGCCTATAATGCCATTAAACTACAAGAATTTTGCATCTCTGAATCATTGAGCATTGACTACAGTTTAGAAATGACACTCGTTCTGCTGAATCAAGAAATCCCTGGTCTGATCAAAAAGGGAAAGACTGGAGTGACCCAAGACAGTATTAATGACTTGGTGTCCTCAAATGCCACTACTCTAGTCTGATTCAGAGGGTGTGTCTCCATGATGTCACCAGACTTGGCACCTGAGCTGTGATTTTACTGAGGCCTTGTCTTAAGAGACAGTAATAACTGAAGACCTACCGTTGCTTAAAGTCCGCATAAAGGATTCTGCTTGGAAACCCCTTCCTGCAAATTCGGATGCCTTCTAGAACCCCATTGCACCTCAGCTGATGCATCACCAAGTAATGGTCCATTTCACCTAAAACAAAATACATCCATCATGACTCTTATTTTCTGCCAAAGAATCTCCACATATATTAGCATTCCAGAATGACCTCTCTTTTTTGATAAAATTCAACCAGCTCTTGATAAAAGATGCCTTCAATCCATACAGGTTGCAGGGAGCTGCTTCAGTGAGATCAGTTTTACTAAGAATGCTAGGGCTGGCAGTGCTTGTGAATTGCCAATGGCCAAAAGGCATAAGGCCACGTTACTTTAAAATGGCAGGAAAGTGCTTGAGGAGACCATCTGAAAAACATTCTACAGCATCAGCATCCTCACTGGATGTAGGTAGAGGTGGCACAATGTCAAGTGTAGTACCATCTTGACAATCAGCTCTTCACATTATGTAAGATTTTACCTTGGATATGCTGTGCAAGTATTGACTATACTCAAACTTGATTAGATTTGCTAGCTAGATAGATTCCAACACAGGAGTGGATAAGCAGGTTGCTTAAAGCTCTCAGTCTGCCTGCAGAGGACAGTTGATTAAAACTGGAAGAATTGTCTTTCTCCTCCTAAAATATCTATTGGATATAATAATCAACTGTATTTCTAAATCTTATTCCCAAGTATTACAAACAAAGTACAACTGGCAGAATAAAACCCTCCTGGAATCACTTTGTCATGCAGAAATTTCCATCAGCTGCTAGAGATATTAATTAGTACTGAATGGTCCATACCCTTAACTTTACCTTTTCAGTGTAATCAGTAAAGGTGTACCCAAACAAATTGTTAGAAAAGTCAAGCACAAACAGCCTAAAACCAGCTAAAAATCAGATGTGCAGTTTCTCTTCCTTCATGTCACCATCCTTAATGTCACTCACACAGTACTACTTTTCTTTTTCTTAAAAGGCAAAAGTCAAGATTTCCTCTGAGTCAGCTCTGTCAAAACAACCAACTGCACATTAAAATGACAGCCATGTCTGGCAAAGTCATTCATTCAAATATGCTTTTCTATTTTAGTAGGTTTCCTTATTTCCCCCCTTGCACCCTCCCGACTGTCAGGACCCCAGTGGGATACCTCTTTCTTCACTTTAGGATATGAAGTGTGGACATCTCCATTTGGCTTTCATTTATAGTCAGTGGAGTGAAACATTTTCTTCTAGGATGTGATTCATCTTATCCTAAGATAGTTGCATAAAAGGGCCCAGATGAGTCATACCTTAAAATGCCAGCTTCTCTCCACTGAATATAAAAGGAGTTTAGATGGAGAGCTGAAATGTGAATGTCATATGTATGTGTGTTGCTTAAATCCTGCTTGTGGTCTTCAGGGTTACACAGAGAGACATAAACAAGAAGGGTAAGAATCATTCTGAAATTGGTCTTTTGTTTCCTGAGCAGATTAAACAGATGCTAAGCTCCTGTTTCCTGCTACTCCTGCTGGATCCACTACATTCTACCAGTATCTACCTTATCATTCTACCAGTATCAGACCTCATAATGATTAGACTCCTAAAACCCACACAGGCAAGTCTCTCCCCAAGTACTTTAATGGCCACATGAAAATACTCCCAAACTTAACTGTTCTTGGAGACTGTACTATTTGTGAGAGTTTAATATTTAATTAAATGAAGGCAAAAAAGTAACTTTATATCAAAATGCTTTCCAATGCTAGCAGCACCCAGCAGCTTGTACATGGAATTCTACAAATGGTATATGATTTCTTTGGTAGTCCTCCGCTCACTGAATCAAATCCTAACACTGAATATTTAGAAATTGGTAAGTTTTCTTGGGCTGAACCCAACAGTTCTGAATGACACAGTGGTCCTTAAAACTAGGCATTTTTAGGGATTTGCTAATGCTGTTACCCACAGCAGACAATTTCATCAGCTGTAATCAATCCCAGCTTTATCATCTTTGGCTCTGTACACACATTAAGCCAAGATGGGTAAGTGTTGTGGGCCGTGTAATGCTCAAAATTTTACAGTCACAGTAAACAGTGCAAGAAGGTTTACTTGGGCACTGTCCTGCAGGCCAAACCCCACAGAAACTTCACAGGCAAAGGGAGCTGTTCTGAAAGAAGTTGGTGTGGAAGCTAAGCAGGCCAGTTCTCACCAGTCCCCTGTCTTCAGAGTATAATAATGGACATACCTGGTGTCTTGGTCTCATTAGGAATCAGACAACGCACAAAGTGAGGATGGGTACTTCTCAGGTTAGTCATCAACTTATTTAGATTTTCCTGTGGTAGAACAAAATTTGGGTTTGAGCTTTGAGCTGCAAAGCTTTAACATTCTTGTTCAAATATCAAGGAGTTATAGAATAACAGAGTGGTTTGGATTAGAAGGAGCCTTTGAAGATTGAGTCCAAAACCTCTGCCATAGGCAGGGACACCTTTCACTAGATCAGATTGCTCTGAGCCCTGTCCAACCTGACTTTGAACACTTCCAATGATGGGGCATCCACCACTTCTCTGGACAACTTATTCCAGTTGTCACCCTCGTCATAAAAAGATTTCTTCCTTATGTCCAATCTAAACCTAAACTCTTTTAGTTTAAAACCATTGCCTGTTGCCCTGTCACTACAGGCCCTAGTAAGTCTTTCTCTGTCTTTCTGATAAGCCCCCTTTCTATATTGAAAGTCTGCAATATAGAGCCTTCTTTTCCCCAGGCTGAACAACCCCAACTCTCTCAGCCTTTCTTCATAGGAGAGGTGTTCCAGCCCTCAGGTCGTTTTTGTGGAAGCATGACTTATTTGAAAGGAAATTCACATACCCTGAACACAGCAGACACGGTCTGGAAAGAGCCCCCTTTCTTCTTAGCACCTTTCTTGCCACCACCACTGTCACCTTGGAAGAAGTAGATGGGAGGTGAATGGTTAGAGTAAGCAGTATATTTTGTAGGCCTCACCTTCTTTCTTTGGACATGGGCCAATAAAATAACTTTTAATTTTAAATACTGACCCACTGTTGCATGAGAGTTTTAGTGAGTTGCTGTTAGCTGGTTGTTGATCGCTATATGGTGTATTTGGTCTCAGATGCATGATTTAGATTGCATCATAATGTATATGGCTTTGGTGGTATGGAACACTATGGCCTGATGTACGTTTCATAACAGTGCACTCTGTGCTACTAGTCACATTGCTTTTACTTGTAGACATAACCCCATTTTTAACTTTTTTTTTTTTTCATTAAGTGAAAGGCCACAAGAATGTGGCTCAGCAGTGCACATCCATTTATCAGTGCAGTGAAGTCTTCAGAAAAATCACAGAATCACAGAATGGTAGAGGT